TCCAACCCTAGAAACTATGAAACTATGAAACTATGAAATCAGCACGTGCACCTGAGGAGAAAATGTATTGCGCACACAGACTGAACACAGTGGAGTAACACAGGCCTCTTGAAGCAATGTTCTTTCTTCTACTTATTGTTTCTTCTGGCAGCAATTTACACTTTGTAGAGCTCTTGTGGTTGTCACTGTCTCTCTCTCTGCCTGAAATACTTATTAACATGGCTAACTTTAGGATGGGCTGTACAGTTCCAGTTTGGATTCCAGATGTTGATGTCGTCACTCCTTTGTCTCCTCACTGGTCTCATTCTTTTATCCTGTTCTGAACTCAGCTCTTAGAGCCTGAATTGGAAAGGTATTTAGACCTTTTATTTAAATAGGTTGTAACGCTGGGCACTTGTAAATCTGGGCTTTAAACTAGCTTCTTAACTCAGCTGAGTAGCTAGGACTTCTACCAGTAGAGGGCAGTCACTACTTATTTTGGGAGTCATTTCCCACCAGATGAAAGAACCACTTGGTTAGAACAACTGGTTTGTTAATTCACAGAAATCTATAGTAAATTCTGGTTAATTTACCTATGGAATAGCGACTCTGGTTTATTTCACCATTATCCTAGTTTCCTGCCGGCCCCCTCTCCTCTCCAATTAACGCATCATTATTTGCATTTCTTCAGGGAGTGGCATATTAACCAGCGCTTACTAAATAGCACACTAAAATGGTTAAACCATATGCAATGCATATATTGAAGCAGGGAGTTACAGAGTTCAGAACGCTCAGTGCAATTGTACCTATATGCCTGTGTGGAGAGAGAAGTCCAGATGTGTGGAATGTATTGTACTATCACATGCCACAATTTGATGTGCTGACGAATCCCAGGCAGCTACCTTTTGCGATCCTATAGTTTCTTTCTTCCTTTCTTATCACCACTGTTGAAGTGCTGCCCCAGGGGAACTTATTGCTCAACTATAAATGTAAATATTTAGCAAGCTATTGCTCCTACAACTGGATCACCCTGTGATGAGTTTTCTGGTTCAGGCATCAGTCTGCAATTCAAGAAACCTACGTTCTATTTCCAGTTCTGCTATGACCTTGGACAAATTGTTTGGCCTCTCTCTGTGCCTCAGATCCTCAGCTATGAAATGGGAATAATAATACAGCTGTCCCGCACAGGAGTGTTGGAAAGGTAAGTACACTAATGGTTAAATGGTAAGATGCTGTTACAGTGGCAGGGGACATGTTTCTTGTGAGATGCAAAATGACTTGATTGATGTAGCTATCTGTCTATTCAATGTGAATTACCAATGTTCCCTGAATTCCCAGGTTCACATCTAAGCACCACTATCTCAGCCCTTTAG